TCTCCGAAACGACGCTGCACTTCTCCATTAAAAAAAAGCAGAGAACCAGCGTCGACCACCGGGGCGGGACTTGCAGGCTAGCCACGACGTTTTTACTTATGTCATGCGAGAGACAAGTTTTAGTAGTCACGTTGTTTCTTTTTTGCCTTTCTTTCTTTCTTTCACTTCTGCATTTGATGCATCTACACTGGGTTTCGGTGTGTTGCTGGCGATAGCTTGCAGTGTCCCTGCAGTTGCTTCTTCTTTTTCTTTCTACTTTCTTAGACAAAATCTCGTTAGAAAAGTTTCTTTATTATTTTTTCTTCATTATTCTTCCATTCTTCTTGGTCCTTATTCCATCCCATTCTTCCTCTCAATATCCTTCCCAACTTAACTCACCTTATTTTCTTGTCGACATCCGGATCATCGACATACTTTAAGCCCCCCCCCCCCTCTTCTTTGTTTTAATATAATAACATCTTGCTTTGATATTTTGGATGAGAGAAGTAGTTGTAGTGCTTGTTATGGTAGTAGTATCCATCGCTCGATGGCTTTCCCTCTGTAGTATGATAGCTATTGCCCAATTTTCACTCTGATTCTCATCACCAACCCCTACATTCTCGTTCTACTTTACTTGTTTGTCATAGTAGCTTCAGCATCAGTATCCACGAAGGAGGAGAGAGGAATGTGTAGTTAGTATCTTGTTCTTGTTCCCCACTCTTATAGTAGATATAACGATGTCTCTAGGCCTGATTCGATAGTGATATTGTTTATAGTATTAAGGTGCGTATGGGTATGTGTATATGTATGTATGTATGTATGTATGTCTCGAGGTAAAGGACTATGAGTGAGTGGTAATTAAACTAGATCTTAGTTGATATGCTTAGTTTAATTTTGATTTGGTTTGAAGAGGAGATGGAGATAGGGAAGATCACCATGTTGAGTGAGATGGTAGTACTGTAGTAGGAATGAACACTTAATGATGCTAGTTGAAGCCTTTTAGAGGGGGGATGGTGCATGCTTGTAAGTAGCTCATATAAGTAGTTTACATTGTTGATTATGATCAGGTAGTTTTGATCTATGTATGTATATGTATGTGTGTGCACTGGCGTGCTTGCGCTCTATTGACTCGACAACTCGCTAAGTGAACAAGATGAAATATGTATGTGAATTGAAAGATCATTCGGGGTCCATCATAGTGTCGCCCCTAGCAGCATCCACGCTGCTTGAAGCGTGCTGCTTTCTTGAAAATGTCTTTTGCCAAGTGAGCATCGGCCCATCATGCTGTGATAGAACCCCGAGGTGTTCTCAGGTGACAGCTGTTGGACAGTCTCACGTGCAAGGAAGGGCTTGGTTGCCTATTATCTTCTGACGTGAGATCTGTGAGTATGTGTGGGTTGTTGGGCGCAACGACCCAAAGTATTTGTTATCAGGTTGGTGTCCGATATAGAGCTTCTCGCTCAGTCGTTTTGCTTTTCTGTGCCGCCTGGAGGAGTATCTTCGGTTACGATAAGAGGGACATTCATGCTGGACGTGAATGCGCCTGCATCGACCTCAGACAATCCAGGGACCTCTTGCGTCTCAGACGGCTGTTTTGGCGACAAAGTCCCGTCGCTGTGATTCTCCACGTGCGATACGGTAGGCTCATCATCTGACCCAGTGTCGATCTCGGAGTTCTCCACGCTCCCGCCAAGAGGGCTACGGGAGGCAGCATCAGGTGAGCCCAAGGGCGAGGGAGACTCGTCATGACTGACGCTGCTTCGCTCCGAAGTGGAGAGCGAGCTCCGTGAGTGAGTGTATGTCGAAGGCAGACCGAGAGCAGCGGCCACGGCAGCCTCCTCGTCAGGCAGCTTTGACACACTGCTGTCTCTGCTGGAGCTTCTATCGAAGATGTGGCTCCCTCGTCGCTCACTCATTTCCAGTATATTATTGTAGTTGCGCCTGGTGGGGTCTGCGAGACGCTTCTTTTTCTTCTTCTCCCTCTTGGTGGTAGGTCGCACCACAATAACAGGAATCGGCGATTGCTGTAAGCAGTACTTCGAGACGGAGCCTGGCAGCAATCCTTGCATGCCACCTAGATTACGGCCCCTCGTGCCCACGATGAGGATAGCAGGTTCGTAGATCCTGATCATGCGCTGAATAATGTCCTGGACCTTGCCGACAGCCAACTCCAGAACCAAGCTGATCGCTTTCTCATTCTGGGTGTTCTTCTGGATCACTTGTTCGAACAGCTTCTCTGCTTCCTTCCGGTATTTCCCCGCCTCGACTGCTGCATCACTCGCGATACTGGAGTCCTTTTCCACCGCACGGAGACAGACGATCTCGTCGCCATCATCCACCAACTCATCGATGAGCCACTCGAGCGCGAAATCAGAATAATCGTTCTGATCTGTACCGCAAAGAAATGTCCGACTGCGCCGCGTGCTCTGGTACCCTTTGTGTTTGTAGTTCAGTGTCAAGGAGAAATCTGCCGCGTCGGGATTATCAAAGGTATCGAAGGAGACGCCCCGTTCGTAGGTCCTTAGCAGCCACCAGATTAGCGATAATATCAACCACGACACGTACATATTAGCACTTACTTCGGCGGAGGAGGGGATGGACCGCGGATAACAGCAGCAGTAGCAGGTCTAGCCTCCCTCTCCGTAGGCACCTGTGAAGGCGAACGCCTGCGATCCGAGACACTAGCCGAACGACTGGGAGGCAGGGATTCGGAACCGCCGATATTGAATGAAATAGATTTCCTCCTAGAGTCTCCACGTGAAGCTCGCGTGGTAGAGGCAGTTCTGGGACGGCTAGGGAGTGGCTCGTTGCCGTCCAGTGAAGGAAATGACATGACGAAGGAAATGCGCCCGGGTGGGTTTGGGAGTGAGGGGGTGGAAGAGGGGTTGTGGTGGTGGTACTTCTTATCGGAGATTATGTTGTTTGATGATGTAGCCTGGTTGCAAAGAATACAGGATGACAACCGGAGAATAACAAAGTTAAAGTTAAAGAGTTGCTCAGCCACCGTGAAGCTCCAGACGTTCTGCCAGTGGTACGATGCGCAAGACGCAGACCATGGTTTGGCGGTACAGAGTATCGGGGCTTATCAGGATGGAGCTCCCCGGGCAGGTTATGCTTGGATGGTGAGCTCGAACGAGGAGACTGGATAGGGAGGCTCAGTGGATGCAGGTAGATGGATAGATGGATAGATGATAGCTCAGTCAATGAGAGGATGGAAGGAAGCAGACTGGAGAATGGAGAAGTGGGATGGTCACTCGGAGCGGAAGCCGGAAGAGGAATGAGAAGCAGCACAAAAGCCGGAAAGGAGAGGAGATCCTCCAAAGCGGGGCAGGGCGGTGAGAGGGGGGTTTACTCAATGATGTTATAACTGACTAGTTAGTTAGTTTGTTACTTGGACAGTATGGCAGTATGGCAGTATGACAGTATGCTGGTTTGACTAATGCATCCACGGGACAGAGTCATTGGCACACAAGAGGACAAGCATCTGGCAAGTTAGTAAGTAGTATTTGCTATCAGACAACACCAACAGCTACTAAATTACCCCTCTCTTTTACTCCTCTCCTCCTCCCTCCGGCAAAACGTTCTTTACACAACCCTCCTGAATGGTCAATTAAATATCGCGACACCAAGGAAATTACTATCACGGAGAAAAATCTAACTAATAATGCCAAACAAATATCTGCCCAACTACTACGTACGCTGTATCCCCCCTCGCAACGCGTATTAAACTAACCATTTGCCCCATCATGAGGGAAATAAATTCTCCTATCTAGAGTAAAATATGAATAAATAGTCTGATTCTTAGTGACCCACATCAACGGCGACTCTAATTTTTTTTTTCTTTCTTTTTCTTCAGGGTCTAGTCTAGTTCAACCATGAGTGCAAAAATTTTCGGAGAGAACGGCAAAGAGTCTACCAGAAAGTTCACATGATCGGAGGAGCCCCAGACAGTTCTCTTGTGATGTGAATAAGTATCTACTATCCATGGACATCCGTCTCCCGAAACTTCCGGGCAAGGAACGGACGGGATAAGAGTACAAAGTAGACTTTTTTTCAAGGAACACCACGGAAACCTTCCCTTACCAAGCAAGCAAGTAAGTAATTGAAAGTTGTTGAAGGTCAGGATCGGCAGTGATGATCCGCCGGGCGGGATCGATCGCCCATGTGATGCATCACGGGGCGGTGTGCTCAATGACTAGTAGTTGACAAGTCGGGGTCTAGATGGAGATACATAGCAGAAGGGAGAAAAAAGTGTAGCTGAGGAGTGGATTGGATGGCGCGGGCGATCGGCACTGCCATCCCGGTTCTGGCCCAGCGGAGTTGAGACGGCGATGTGTCGGACTTGCACAATCACAGTCGTCGCCCAATGTCTTCTTCATTTCAGGCGAGAGGCCTAACCTTGACTGACTAGTAGTCGCGGATCCAAGAAAGTGGAGACCAGGTACGGACTAAACAACCATCTATTAATCGGCTATTGGCGGCCATGTGGGCTGGTCTTTAATCTACGGTGAAGATCACATCTCATCGGGAAGGTGTTGATGATGATGGGCATATCTCTCTATCAACTTTATCTATTGGTATTTATTATGGAGTATTACGGGGGGTTTGGTTGGTCTTTCTTGTAATGTGATATTCATTCATCATGGGGTTTCATCTAATATTGCCTCCGAAGAGGACAAGCAAAAAAATAATGTTCTCGACCGTCTATCCCAGCGGCCTAACTGTGGGGACCATATCGATCCAAGAAAGGAAAAATCAAAGAGTAGAGAATCACTGCCCAAGCGCTCGGGCATGCAAAAACAGTAAATGGGGATGCGATCTCGAACAATGCAAAACAGTAGTCTCCAAAACAGAATGCCCAACCAAAGAATTCCTTTTATCTTGTCGCAGAATAAAACGCCGGACCCGCTATGATAATGGCGACTCGCCCAAAACAAAATCAACCGTTCCAGAACAATTCATCAATAAATGGGGGTATCACGTATGGTACATTGACGTGGTCGTCAATTGGCAGGGCACAATCAGTACGCCTCGATAATCGTGCTGCGTGCCTGGCCAGGGACGTAATACCCATTGTCGAGATCCGTAGGGGAGAGGGGGATCTCTGTGGTTTGAGGTTCCTTCTCGTTGAATGTTTCAAGTGTCGGTTGGGGAGGCGACGGGGGCATGGTGTCGTCTTCTGATTCCCCATCCGAGTCCGACAGCAAGTCGGGAGGGGTTTGTCGGGAGGGTGAGCGGGTCAAGGTCAATTCCTCCAAATCTTCCGCGTCATCGTATTCAAAGTCCGAGTCCGAGTCGGAATCGTAATCCTCCTCCACTTCCTTTTCGGTGATGATGGCGACAGGTGACGGGGCCCGCCGACGCACGGGGGTATAGATGTGAGATTCATCTTCATATTCATCTTCATCATAGTCGGAGTCGGAGTCGCTGACATCGGAGTCGGCGTCGGAGAGGTCTTCGGGATCCCAGTCCTCTTCTGGGTCTTCGACCACGGTTTCTGCCCATTGGATGTGTCGGGATTCCGAACCTTGCGAAGAGGTCTTGGTCACTCCGCTGACGGTTTGGTTGAACCAACGTTCTTGTTCTCTTTCGGCATCGGCCAATTCCAGCATGAGGGAATCCAGAAGGTTGGCATGGCCAACGAGGAGGCGGAGGTCATGGTCTGCCCGCGAAGCTTCCCGGGTGAGCTTCTTGCGGGCGGTGTGGGCGAGGTAGTATGTTTGAGTGATGCTCATTTTCTTTTGTTGGCGTCTCCGCACGAGAGAGGTGAAGTAGGAACTGGGAGTGGTGGTGGAAGCGGAGGTTGAAAGGGGGGAGGGAGAGGTAGAAGAAGTAGAAGTAGAAGTAGAGGAAGAGCGAGAGGCCATGGTGCCAAAAAAAGTGTCCGGGAGGACCGTGTTGATGTGCTTATGAGCTCAATGCCAAAAGGTGACTCGTTCGCTCTGCGCGGTGACTCAGGCAGCCTTCCCTTTTCCGGCGGCCGCTCAGGCTGGGGGCCAATCAGCGGGTGGAGAGATCGCGGGGCGGTGAGTCAAGGTTGACTGCAGGCGGATCAATAAATCACGACGCCTTATCTTGGGGCGCGACTACGCTTTGATCCGCTTTTTTTCGTTTCCGGCGTCAAAAATGGGAAATGGGAAAATAGATAGTTTCCCTGCACTATGTCGGCGCAAAAAATGGATGGGCGCGACCAGACCAGCGATGCGTCGTCCGTTCCTGGCTCCTTCAGGCGTCTCCACTGGTTGTCTGTTCAACAACAGGCAGGATGAGGCAGCAGTAGTGGCGGGGAAAGCGGATGTGTTGGAGGTATGTGGTTTGAGTAATGTCCTGTGTGCGTATGTAGGATGGCGCACAGCAGTACTAGAGTCGGTCTGAGGTGGTCACCCTAAAGTGATGGGGGTGTATGTAGTATGTATGTGGAGGAAGGAAATAGGTACTGTGTATGTACTTGAGTAAACCTGTGTAGGGAAAGAAAAAAATGATCAACCGGGAGACAGGGACCAATTTAATATGATATATCCACTTTCTAGGCTGATAATTTTTTCCTGCTGATTTCTTTTTTCGTTACTCAGTGTTTTCTCCGTTTTTCTAATCCTATCTCCATTATTAACCTTAGTTTACTTTTTTACCTTTTTTTCTCACGCACCGGGGTTTAGAAGGGATATGGAATCGGACCTTCGGAGGCAGAAACCATCGATGCCCATCCGTGGATCGGAAGGAGGGTGCCGGATCCACCAGGGCCGATTTCCCTCGCTCGAAAAGGCAACTGTTAGTTCACCGCCCCTCGCGAGACCCAATCATCACTCCTAAAAATGAGTCACGGCCAGGCTCCGCCCGCTAACTCCGTGTGGACGATCACCGCTCAGCCCAGCCCAGCAAAGAAAAATAAAATTATTTGGGATGAAAATAAAAAAAAAACCCTGGACGGGGCGTCGGATGACCAATCTTTCCGCGCCGTTATTTCCGGCTGACGGGAGCTTCTAAGCCTAGAAAATTCCAGCAGATGCCCAGTCATCGCTCGCTCCGTCTCATGCCAGACTCCCCGATTACTAACTGTACTTACTCCCTTTCTTCCATCATCCGTGAAGGTTGCTATTTCCACGGGACCAAAGGGGCCAGCTGGTTCTGAATGAGCCGCCTAGGGTCAATGCGCCAGCTCGTCATACCTACTCACTGTGTAGTCTGTAGTAATGACACTTCTGTCCGCTTTGAAATCAGCATCCCCGATTCATAAGCTCACGGTGCAGAACCAGGAGTCCCCTAACTTGGCCAGCCTCACTACTGTAATGGGTCTAGTCGACGACACCAGTCACATCCCCACCTCGGGGACAACGACGTGCCTGAGCGAGATGTATACCAAGTGACCAACCATGGAAGTAGACGCGTATTCTGGTTGCGCAGAATAATAATCAGCAATTACCATGCACTCTGATTGTGACCCGAGGGATAACAAGAAAGTTTACGGCGTCGAGCGTATTCATTTGGCAGGCAAGAGCATTGACATTGACCCAAGTGCGTGCACTGCACTAGCTAATGCTAATACATTGGGGAAAGGGATTGATTGACCTGTGCACGGAAGCAGTGATCCCGGGCGGTGGTCAATAATTCGCGAGGGCCGAGGCGCGTGTACCTTGGGAGGTTAACTAGCCAAGCGAATACGACGACGGGCACGGAGTTATGCCTACTTCCTTCCTTTCCTATCTTACCTACTTACATTTGCCTGCTTTTGCTCACTCCCTAGATACCTCCGAATTCGCTGAATGGATTGGATATCGCGTACTGGTATGGAGTACGCGTGCATAATCTCGCTTCCTTCCTTTCTGTCTGGCAGCCTTTGCAAAGCCCACGTAAGCCAGCCAGAACTCGGCGATGAAGTTCCCACAGGCTGCCACATTTCACGCCTCTAATTGATCAGTGCCTACAAGGTACAAGTAATCAGTTTGTATCTGCCTGCTAAGCCGACTAGTAGGAGAGTCCGGGGAAGCCTGCCTGCCCATCACAATATGATAGGCGTGTGCGCTTTGTCTGCCTGTGCGGAGAGCCGCACGTCCAAGCCAGGCTTGGCAAAGTATCCCTGATCGCGTAGGGAGGATCAAGGGCACCACCGCAAAAATTGGGTAGCTAACTTACCGAGTTGGGCTATTTGTGTTGATTCCATCTGTGAGGGTTGACCGCTAGCGACAAACGTGTCCTGCTCTTGGCGACGCCCTGCTTGCTTGCCTGCCTGCCTCCGCCTCCGCAGTACTTGATGATCACCCCCTGGCTGGCTGAGTACGTATTGGAGATGGCTGTGTTTCGCGAAGTCGTCCAGCTAGTTGGGAAAGTATGGGGGCGGAAATCGTACGTAATCGTGTTGAGGGGGCTGGATTCTCATGAAGATAATCAACGTGCTGGTTTTGGTTTGCTATCAGTTAATCTGTCGTCTATCTGAAACCTTACATCTATCTATCTAGTATCTACACAGCCTCGATGGGGACTTTGTGGGGAGCAGCAGACTAGTCAGCAACTATCGTGGCTAGTGGGTCATGTGATACTATCAGTTGATGATCGAGTCTGTTTCCTTAAAGAGAACAGAGCTGAGAACAATAATCTCACCCCTCAGTAACCAAATAATAGTAATGAACATATTTAGAAGAGACGATCGCAATTCCCTCGTACAGAATGAATGTCTGGATCGAGCCAGTTTCAGCAACCCTTCCATGATGAAAACGCCCGGCGTGTCAAGGAATGTCGCTGTGTTCCCTCAAACCACGTCTGGATCCAGCCGGTGGGGCTAAAAAGGGAGGAGAGAGAAAGAGAGAATCTGACATGGCATTCAGCTCTCCCCTAAAACAGAAATACGAGGGATGGGACCTGACGGAGATCTCCTACCAAGTGCCTGATTCAGCCTGTCTGCAGTTGAACTAGTTAACTGCTCGAGGCTTGCTCGTGAAGGTTAATCAGTCAAGCTTACTCAACCCAGGGAAGGACAATGAATGTTAACCACATCAACCACCTCTCTGGACTCGTTTTCTTCACACCCGCAACCACTGCCTCGGGGCGTCCGGGAGGGCGCTACCGCTGTCATGGCTTCAGGCTGCCAGCGCCCATACTTGGTCCCTACCTGTATAGCAACACCGGAACTTTGTTTACTGCCACACCCTCGCTCCAGCAAAGGACTGTGCAGACGGGGAGTCCAATGACAGGAGTCCACATCATTGCTTGACTCGCTCGTATCAACCTGGCCTTGCAAACAATGATCTTGACATTCATATTGGCCACACTGACATCTCCATCATCATCATCATCATCACCACCATCATCATGATAATACAGACGGTCTGATCCGCCACGACTGTTGATTCTAGAACAAACACATATCATTTTCCTATTCACGTCCAGATACTATCTCTCGATGATGATCAACACAATAGAATAGAGAGAGCCAGGTCTGGATTGATCCTGATTGACGTCACGACATCAGATCCCTGCAAATCCAGCAAACATTACGAAGCAGAAGTGTTGACCTCATATCCCGACGACTTCACCTAATCACCCCCAGATTTATCATCCATCACCTAACCATCCCCAGGAATAACAACAGCAGCAGCAGTGGTCCTCGTATCCCTACGGGGTCCCCATTTTCGAAACACTATCTTGATTTGAAACTATATTAACCACAACCTTAACTTCTGACAAAACTGACAGAAGCATTAATAATCACTCACTCCCCCCTCTACTCCCATGGTAATACACACCACTGCAAACCTACTCACCTACTTACCCCATAACTGGAATAATAGTAACTAAAGTCTATCGGACATAACCCAACTCCATCCCGTAATTCCTAATCCCTATCTCCCCAGCACAACCAACCCACTTACCCGTCGCCGACAAGGAAAGGGAGTCAGAAGAACGGGATATCGGCGATTCGCACTCCCAACCTCCGACCGACACGCAGCAACAGCAAAGGATGTGCCGGAACCGGAAAACCAAAAACCACCAACCCCGTGATCTGACCCATGGTTCAAAACCACCCCTAATATCCACTAATCAATCAGAAAACTCCATGTGAAGAATGAATCACTCGGATACTCGGAATTAATTAAATCTTTTTCTTCAGCCTTGTAGTCGGGTCGGGATTTTTACCTAATTCTTTTCCTTTTTTTTTTCTGCCGGTTTTATTTTACCTTCTCACTTTGGGTTTTGTTTCCCGGGATCTGGGAATTTCTGATTAGTAGAGATGACTTTTCTACGAAGTTGATCTCTCGGGCCGAGGGTGGGCTTTGGGATTTTGGTATGGATTTCAACATGCTGATTGAGTGATTAGCGATCTCGTGATGAGTGATAATTGAAGCTTGAGGCTTGATACTGGATGACTCATATTCATTCATTCTTTCTTTCTTTCATTCTATTCGTTTTGGTTCCGGTTTTCGCGTGGTGGGCTAGATACCTACTCCGTAGATAGGGGGGATAATGTGCGATTATCGTCGATAGTAGTACACCCTATGCATCTTATTTGATGTTGTTGGTGGTGTTCAAGGGACTTGCTTGCGCGTGACAGTCGGAACTGAGTGGGTAGGTGGGTGGATAGGTGGCGATGTGATTAAGGGTCCAGGTTACATAAGAGTTATTCATTGGATGCATGTGTGTATGTGTGCATAATCAACTGTGAATGGTTTAATGTATTATGCTTGAAGGGACAGTAATTCACATTACATTTAATGCCTCACATGTATGGGTTTTGCTATTAAGGTGGGCTCTTGCCACCCTGCGGAGTTGAGAATTAGATCCCCGGTGCTGCCGAGGAACATAGCAATATTAGTACGTAGTGTTAGACTGTTAGTGCTATATTGTGGAGATATTGTCGTTCCGATCGATAGAGATT